GATATATATCTGCAGTATTATTTAGTATTTTTGTAGCACAAAATGTAGCACGTCAGAGTGCCGAACCTTTTTATTCATTGCTGAAATGACCGCCCGGCATCTTTGACAATATTAAAGCAATATTACAATACTAAAAATACTCGGTCACAGTGTATTTACGTCAAGTCAAGCACTTGTTTGCAACGCCTACTTATAAAAAATAAACAAAATTCAGAAAAAACGCATTTTTCCTCATAACCAAGAAAATAAAAAATGTAACATGTGATACATCGTTGAATTCATATAAAAAATGCTATTAGATATAAAGTGTACTTTTTTCGGGCCATATGAAGAAGAAAAAAGAACCGTCAGGCACAGAATTTAAAAACCATCATAAGTTCCTAAAAAGTGCCAACGGAAAAGCTTAATTAGCTTTTTGATATATCTTAAAATAAATTCAGAAAGAATAAAAATGATTTGGCCAAATTTTAGTTTGCTCCAAATATCTCAGTAAGGCATGAAGTTTCTCAACGGCAAAATGCGCCCCAAATAATGCAACTTTATCCTAATTTAACCTAAGCTCCCACAGGTATTGAGATTCCTATGCATAGGATCCTTATCGTGGACACCCTGTATAATTTTATTCATGATTTCTTGGTATGTTTCGAAGGGAATAGCATCCTAAATACAGCCATCCAACCATTCTTTACGAACTGTTTAGAAGGTATGCATGGCATATTTTTCTGGTTTTAAATTCGTGCAAGTCCAAAAATTTTATTTAAATGCTTTTCATTTTAATATTCCTCTATTTAAGCAGCGCTTAAAATTTCCATAATGTCTAAGACATGCAAAATTGCAGCAAGAATGCGTGGTAAAAACAGCGTCACTCTACCTGGTTCCAACTCTTAACTTGCAATATAATAATAGTAATAATAATAATAAATGACTTTATTGAATACAACAAATAAACTTTTTTCAAAAGTAATTTAGAGAAAAGTATGTAATACATTGCCTAATATTGGCGCAAGTCTAGCTTAAAGATACTCTACTGAACCAAAATAAGACAAAAAAAATAATAGTAGTAAGTCTTCAAACAACAATACAGAATGAGCATAATAATAATCCCGTGTTAACACTAAATGGACTGAAAGTAAATTAAAATTTCAACAAGATGTTAATTAATACTGATCACTATAAAATTTGGATACTGGTTACTAGAAAATTTGCTTGACATATTTTTTTACTTATATGCCTATATTATAAACTTCTCTATTCTAAAAAAAGTTTGTTCTGACTGGTATTTAGCAAATATTTCTTATATTGTATTTTGCAACTTGAAAGAGAAAGGTTAAGAAACTGGTTGGGAATTGAAATAAATTGTTTAACAGTATCGTATGAGAATGAACGTTGAAACAATGCACTACTATGAAGCGACATAGTTAATTTTTTTAAATATCTTACATTTATATCATGAACAGAATGTCGGAAAATTAAGCGTTTTCTTAGAGAATCAGGTGAACCTGGGGTGTTTATACTTTTGATAAAAAACTAGAAAAATGGATAGTGCGACGCTCATTCATTTTAAGCCATTTAATTTCTTTATACAAATGAGATACATGACCAAACCTACTCAGACCATAGATAAACCTGAGGCACGCATTTGGCACCCTCTGAATACGACCTCTACTTGCCTGATCTAAGACAAAATCGCAATAATTGAAATTGGAAAGAATTAGGGATTCACACAATTTTCTTTTAGTGATCTGTTTAGCATGTGTCTGTTATTATACAAAACTTTCAGAGAACAAAATGATTTTTGCATAAGATTTTTTAGGTGATCTTTAAATCTAAGCTGAGAATCTAAAACTATACTGAGATTTTTTGTACTTTCAACAAAATTCAATTTTGAATTATCAGTCATTATATTGAGATTAGATTTCAAAAGCTCAGTCTTAGATTTGTTACCAAAAATCATTACATGCGACTTTTCCGGATTAGATTTTAGTCTTTAGAAGTACCAAAACTTCTAGACTTTTCAAAACAACATCTTTTTATCATTTGCTCTTAATATGTCATCGAGTACGTTTGTTAGAGCCACTGATGTAAAAAAAAATTTACGAAAACCACACTGAGTACCAGGAATAATATTATTACTCATACAAAGATATGGTACTAAGTATGTTTGATTGAAGTTTAACACGTTGCGGGACTAATAATCCGTACTTTGGCGTTGACAGCGGTACATATCGCCGGGGTATACTAATAGAGTCTTTACTGCTGTGCGTTACATATCCCCGGAGATATGTAGTAAAAATATACTTAAGCGCCATCTTTGTAAGATATGTTGCAATATTTCACCATTTTGATGTAGAAATCTTTTATAGGATAGATGAATCCATCTTGGAGTCACGTCGTACATATCTCCGGGAACTAGAACCGCATGCTGATGAGTACAAATTTTCAACAATAAAAGTCAAGTTTCATTGAAATTTTGATTGAAAATAAAACATTTTTCTAAACAAAATTATAAACAAAATTATTTGACTTGTGTTCATATTGAAATTTTTTTCTTGAGTATAATAAGAAAGAAAACAATGAACTAAGTACAGTACATTGACAACAAGAAAGAACACAAGAAATTAATTTCTTCAACAAAAAAAGAGTATTACAGTAGTCTAATAAAATCCAGCAACAACAAAGCTAAAAAAATATGGGAAATAGTCAATGAAGAAACCGGAAGAGTAAAGAAACATCATCAAATAGTGCTGAAAAATGAAGACAAAGAATTTACTGACACCCTCGTACCCGACAAGTTTGGCAAGTATTTTTCCACAATAGCAGAGAGCAAGTTAGCAGAACACTTTAAATGTGACAACCCATCAAGATGTCCATTACAAAATCGGGTAGCATCATCAATGTTCTACGAGGATGTCACCACTGAAGAGATCGTGGAAGTAATCAGCAGCCTTCCAAATAAAAGAAGCAGTGGAAATGATGGAATTTCAATGCATGTGATAAAGTTTGTGAAACGTGAAATATCTTCCCCCTATCAGTCCTTATTAATAAATCAGTGAAGCAAGGTAAATTCACGAAATGCTTGAAACTAGCTATTGTTATACCCGTATACAAAAAGGGTGACCGTACAGACCTTGAAAACTACAGACCAATATCACTTTTATCGATGATCTCTAAAGTCACTGAAAAATGTCTGTATAAACGTATATTATGTTTTCTCAATCGCTATAATGTCTTATCAGATACCCAGCATGGGTTTAGACCCTCACGATCTATAGAAACGGCGACCTTTGACTTTTTTTCCCATATATATAGAGAAGTAGACGAAAACAGATACGTTGCTGGACTATTTTTTGACCTTTCGAAAGCATTCGATATAATGGATATTTCGTTTATCGTGGAAAAATTGTACTGCTTAGGTATAAGGGATTTTATTCTCAGCTGGATCCAGTCTTTCCTCACAGATAGAAAATTGAAAACGAAGGTCAATGATTATACGTCAACTCAATATTCCGTGAATATAGGTGCGGCACAAGGCTCAGTACTTGCACCACTGCTCTTCATTGTATACATAAATGACTTGAAATTGTCTGGCTTCATGATTAATTATGCGGATGACACATCTATCGTCGTCAGTGGCACGACACCGCAGTATCTTCTCGAATCTATTGAGAAAGTCAAAAGTGAAATGAGCAAGTGGTGCTTGTCTAACCGCTTCATTTTGAATGAAGATTCTTATCTTGTTGAAATTCATTTCTTCAACAAGAAACCGCGCATGGATATTGATAGCTTTTCAGATCAAACTGTCTTCTTAGGAACTCATGTTGATAGTAAGTTAAGCTGGCAACCACAAATAAATCACATTTGCAACAAAATTAACAGTGCTTATTTTGCAATATTGAAATTAAAGCCTAACATCCATCTAAACTCACTCTTAGATATGTACTACGCGCTAGTTTATTCTCACCTCACTATCAATATAATCATATGGGGACAGGCAACAATGATTAACACATTATTCATCCTGCAGAAAAGAGTACTTAGATTAATTTTTAATATTAATAAGAGGGACTCTTGTAAAGAAATATTTAGACGCTATAATCTGCTTACATTAACTTCCATCTATATCTACAAATGTGCCATCTTCGCATTTGAACATAGCAACAGATTTGTTCGTAACAACGCCCTTAATAGTCAATACAACACTAGAATAGGGCATGATCTGAGTATACCGACATATAACTCTGCCCTATTCCAAAAATCTCCCACTCTAGCGTGCACTAAGGTATACAATAATCTGCCGAGTGAGTTGCGGAGAAGCACTAATATCGTTGCGCTGAAAAAACATCTCAGGAAATATCTGGTTGAAACATGCTATTACTCTCTACATGAGTTTTACTAACACATGAAAGTATCTGTTTTTTAAATTCCTTTAGGCTGTTAATCATTTCGTTATCAGTGAATTGTCTATTATCGTGGAGTAAATGTATTTTAATTTCACTTTTTATTCGAGTTTTAACGAAAGTATGTATGTTTTCTTTTAAGCTTTTAACCATTTGTCCTCACTGCTCGATGTTTATTGTGTTTATATATTATGTATTTCAACAGATTCTCCTACCGCTTTTCTTTGTATCAGCTTCAATGATTTTTACCGCCTAGACGAACATTTTTTGTGATAAAAAAAGTCGCTGTATATGTATATACTTTTACACATTACGATTCTTGCACTGTACCTGTACCTATAATGTGATTTAACCTTTTAAAATGTTTTGTAATTGTAATGTCCTTATTTATTTTATAATTATAAGTATTTTTCTGGCATATTTGCTCAAACGCATATATGACCCTCAAATTGATATTGACAAGTCTTATATCATGTAACATGATCTAATAGGACAATAAACTATCTATCTATCTATCTAAGATATTTTAGTTGTGTGTTTCATTGAAACATTGAAGGCAATATCCCGGCTTCTTTGGACATTCTTCACAATAGCTTATTATACGTCGGACTTTTTTGTCAGCCTCGCGACTCGTCATAGTTATTCGCAATTTTTTGTAACATCCAGTACATGGTCTTCTCTTCTTTCTTCCTGGACCTTCAGGTTTCACGAAAGTGCGTTGCCTCTTTCTCGATGGAACTGGCTGCTTTGGGACTTCCGCTTGTTCTATTATTAGATCTTTAGCTAGTTGTGTTCTAAATTCCATAATGCTCAGCTTTGTGTCAGAAACCGTGTTATAAACAATCCACGAATTCACCACAGTCGTGCCCAGTAGTAATTCAAACATAACTTTGCTGCAAAAAAAATAAAAATACTTATACATTAAATGTTATATATTTATATATGAAAGGACTTACCGATACCATTTTAGTGTTTTACGTACAGCAGTATGATAAGAGGACATTTGGTCATTGAAGTCGGCACCCTTTTTCGCCAAATTATAATCAATTACACACTGTGGTTTCAATATATCTTCCTCTTTACGATTTTTTTTCCTATAAAAATTATCTTTTGTGAATCTTCATTTTGAAAATAATTGTATTGTCCTTACCTGTAGGTACTAGTGTAGCATTATGAGCAGGATGTGTCGTGATCATAAAAACAGGTCTTTTGTCTACCCATTTAATAATTTTTATCTTGCTTTTCTCTTTGCCAATAACTTACCCTTATTATTTTTCTTTGTGAATTCTTTGGGAACTCCTTTTCGGTTTGATCTTAGTGTGTCACAATACAGACATTTTTGATTAAGTAATGTTTTAACCAACGGTATTCCGGAATAAAAATTATCAGCATATAATATTCGTCCTTCTTTTGGATTCACATCTTCCAGCAATTTCAATACAATAGATTGTGCATGTCCCAGCTCAGGTTGCATATCACCTTCACCAGTGTAAACCTTTAAGTTGTAAGTGTACCCAGAACTTGTACATAGCTTATAAAGTTTGACCCCATATCTATGTGTTTTATTCGGTATATACTGCCGGAACTTCAACCGTCCTCTAAACGGAACCATGGATTCGTCTATGACAAGGACTCGTCCTGGACTCAAAATTTGTTGATAAGTTTTTAACAGGAGTGAAATAAGAGGATCTATTTTGTACAGTCTATTTGTAGTATCGGCGGATTCGTTGTCAGAAAAATGGAGAAACCTTAGTAGCACGAGAAACCTGTCTCTTGTGAAAATCGATAAAACAAATTAATTGTGAAATAGGGGCTCTTTCGACCAATATAAATTTATAGCAGGTACCTGCGTTAAGCCCACTCCAATAGCAACACTCAAAAATTTACGCATCTCGTTCTTATTCGTGTTAGCCCAGGATTTAATTCTAGATTTACCTGAGTGACTTTTAGTTACTTGTTGACCTGCATAACGATTTGTTTCCAGTACTAGCACGTCAATGATTTCGTCTGTTATGAATCGCTCAAAAATATCAATGGTCCTCTTAATTGTTTGTTGGTTAATATCTGGGTCAAGTGTGCATTGTTCATTGTGAAGATCAAAATTTATAGATGAAGTTTTTATATCTTCCCATACATCCCTCAGATCACTGTCACTATCATTATCTGGTTCATTATTGAGATAGTCTGCCCTGCTTGAAGGCCTACCTGGAACATCGTTATTGGCTTCGCTATCTAGAGCGTTAGAAGAAAATTCATTTTCATGACTACTTTCACCAGTACTCTCATCATTCGAATCACATTGATAAATTTTGTCTTTCACAGAGTCATCACTATCAAAGTCTTCCCATTCAAGTCAGAATCACTACCGCCATCATTCATTTGTTTCACAGTATGCGTAACACCTGAGGGACCAGGAAAACTATGATAATTTTGAGCGGAAAAGTCATTATTAGTTAAAAACGTAGATTCCCGGGAACTCTCTAATTCCAAGTATTACTTTCTTTAAATTTTCGTGCCGCTAATTCAAGCAGTTTTTCTGAGCGCGACATCATCGTCGGTAGCTTACGGTCAACTAAATATGCTTATTTACGAAATACACGTTCAAGAAGTGTGCAAGTTGAAACTCGTTAATACAGAACCTCGGGGATACGTTTCGCACAGAAGTTAATATCGTATTAATTGTGTGCGAAACATATCCCCCGGGATATGTAAGAAACTTTACGCTTTATATGAAACTGGTATCATAAGGATCAGAAAGCTATCTATAACATTGAAATCATTAGAAAAATAACGTTTTCGCGACTAACGCGCTTGCATCGTATTTTGACTTAAGTCACTCCCGTCTCCTACGAAAAATTCTCACATATCGCCGGGGGCATGTAACGCAGTCAACGTGTTAAGGCAACAACAGTCGCCATAAACTATAACTCGCTTTTGATAACCCCACTCTCGCACACCAATGAGAAAATCTCTGAAAATCTGACTGCTGTTCAATGCAAGTTTCGTGCATTCCAGTGATGCGGATAATTTAGTGACAGCTGGTTACATGCTATTCTATTCTTCTCAAAAGGTGTGATTATGGAAGGAAAGTACAAGGTAAGAGAATTAATGACATTCTACCTTGATATTGAGAGGCTAAAAGTATTCATGGACATAAGCAGATAAAATTTTTGTCTAGGATAAAAAAATGTGTGATATTACTTGCTATGATACTGACGAGAAAGTACTGTAATCGCGAAAAATTTCGATAATGAGATATGTTTTTTAGATATTGTATGACATCTATGTTACGAGTCGCTCGTTTCCGTTGGTCTATCGTTCTGTCTGTTTGCTAATCTTTGGTCCATCTATAACTTGGAAATCGACTCAATCTACTTTAATAACAATTTATAATTTTCATAAATCTGTGTCACACTTTGATTCAATGCACGATTGTTGCGAACGCCAACATTTTTCATTTCGATCCTCTAAATCCATATTAAATAAATTTCCCAAGGCCTTTTAGGCTTGCAAGCTGATGAATTAGCCTGTGTGTCAATATAACGGCGACACCTTACTATCCTTAGCGTCCATTCTGTGAAATCTGAGGAGGGATATGTTGTGGAGTCATAGTAGACACGATTGCTATTATACTCGAGCGCCATCTATTACTTTTTTTACCTATAAGTTTATGTGTTACCATGTGAGTCACAAGTCATGTGGTATGCATAAATGAACTGTCAAAGGTATGTCATTTATTGTCATGGATTCGTTTACAACACAACAACGCATTTTGGTGATCCAAACTTATTACGAAAACGGTCGAAATATAAAAAAATACTTTTCGCAAACTTCGCACTAGTTTTGGCCTACATGGACGCCCTACAGAGCCTGGAATTCGTTGAATTGTTGATCGTTTTGAGGAAACTGGTTCAGCTGAAGGTCGTAGCCGCAGTGAGTGAAAGTGTGCGAGAAGATCCAACCACCTCGACTAGGCACCGTTCGCAACAATTGGGAATTAGTGAGACCACTTTACGCCGGATTTTACACATTGATTTACACCTCCATCCATACAAAATCCAATTAACACAAGAATTGAAGCCGACAGACCATCAACAGCGGCGTGTTTCTTTTAATTGGATGCTGGATAAAGAAGACGGATTTTCGGCCAAAGTGCTCTTTTCTGATGAGGCTCATTTTCACCTCAACGGGTACGTAAATAAGCAAAATTGCAGATTCTGGAGGGTTGAAAATCCACACCAATATCATCAACAACCTCTCCATCCTGAAAAAGTAACTGTTTGGTGCGGATTATGGGCTGGTGGCATCGTTGGACCATTCTTCTTTGAAGATGCCGAAGAAAAGGCCATTACCGTCAATGGGGAACGTTATCGCGGCATGTTAACAGACTTTTTGTGGCCACAAATGGATCGTATTGGTGCCGATGATCTTTGGTTTCATCAAAGCGGAGCAACGGCTCACACATCTCGCCAAACAAAATGCAGATATCAGTTGGCCCCCGAGATCGTGCGATTTAACACCTCTTGACTATTTTCTTTGAGAAATTTTGAAAGGAAAAGTATATGCGAATGATCGCCGGACAATTCAAGACCTAAAGCGCAATATTCGGACTGAAATTGCGGTCACAGACCCGATTATTCTGGGAAAAGTCATTGAGAATTTTGATGTTCGTATGCCTGTATACGAAGTCGCGGTGGTCACGTGACTAATGTTATTTTTCATACATAAATGGCATAAACCAACCTTCATTTATCAATAAAAAAATTCTATTTCACCTCGTAAAAAGCGTGTTTACTTTTCAAATAGGAAAAAAGTAATTGATGACGCATTCTGTATTTATTTTTGCAATATTGGAAAGGAGTACTGTGGTACGCCACTGATTTAGGTGGTGACACGTTACTGGTCCTATGTGATCAGTTATGCTATTATTTTCCTATCTCGTACTTGACTAGCGAGTAATACGTAAATCGATGCATTACAGGTACCAGTTGGAATTACCACAAAAGAAAATATCAAATACTTTTTCAAATTCCGACTATTGAATATGAAAATGAAGTCCGTGACTCTTCAGGAATCCCCAGCATTTTCCTTGTGTTGAAACTGAATGTTCTGGAAGCAAAAAAATAAAGTTAGAGGGAGTTTTAATAATAAAAACCAACTGTTTTCTGAATAATCACTCCTTTTTTAGTAATATGGCCATTAAATGGTTTATGAAAAGAAAAGCAGTAACATACCATGATCTACTCAAAGTTCATTCTCAGTGCAGAGCCAGTCACCTGAATGTAAGTCATTGTCTTGTGACGCTGTGTAATAATATGCAACTCTGACAGAAAATGGGGTACTATTGGATGCGCAATCACTCTTTTTTTATCTGCATTGTAAAGATAAAATATGCTGTTCTGGAGTAATAAAGCATTTATACTGGTTCTATCATTTATTAGCTACAGTATATATATCGTGCTAAATTTCGTTCTGGATAGTTTAACACGATCAAACGTGGCGGTAGATATGACTTAGTGATACATAAAAGTACCCAATATCGTCAACTTACATACAATTTGGACTTAGAAGGTGTCGCATTTTCAAGGCATTTAGTGTATTTGTTTTGCAGAATAAGTTTCAGTATCATCGGAAGTCAGAAAGGATCAAGGAATATGGTAGCGTTAAATGATAATAACAAAATGTCAAAGCAGGTAAGATTATAAATGGAAGGAAACAGCTATATCATCGCATGAAAATTTAATTCATGGTTTCAAGAAGATCCAGACTTTTATTCTTGTCAACAATTTTCACAAATAATGTAAGTTTACGTGCTAAAATGATGTCTGCGAAAATACATGGTAATCCCTGAAGATACAGCTACATTTTTAACAGTATGAATTAAATTCATAGAAGGAGGTAGGTCAAGCGCCCTCCTCCATATGTTCATTGGACGGATCAAGTTAGGGAGATACCTACTATATTTTAACGTGAAAATAATAGCTGGAAATTTAAAGATGTTGGCTGGGGCCATTTTTTCAAATGGAATCTGGGGTCATATGATTTCTTACTTTGAAGCTTCTCATGAACCCTGAATACAAAATCATCAAAACGTTATAGTATGTTATTTCAATCCCTTCTTTAGTTAGACACAATTTCAATGTGCAATAAAAGATGATCGTACATTCCTTTAGAAAAATGTCAAATTCCCTTCCAAGGGAAAAATATTCATATGACACAGATACGTTTAGAATTTTAGATGATTGGTTGTTGAGTTATAAGCGCCTCAATGTACAAAACCGTTCAACCTTGACAACCTGTCTGGTCGTCGTTTCAAAACAAGCTATCACTCAACACCCCTTTCCTTTTGTAAAAATACTCCAAAATGGCGCACAGCCACCGTCATTAAATTTCCAACTGCCACTTTTATGTTTTAACATAGTTATCATGTGTCAATTTCATTACTCCAAATATCAGCTTCCTATCTTGATCCGTTTATAAAATAAGTTTCGAGGGGGCTTTCTGAAAAGCACATGTCTTGTCTTTCAAAAAATAAGTAATGTCTGGTAACCCTGGGATCTTATACTATCTATTGCCTAACTCATGTGTGTGTATGACATTGAGACGTCTATGCTGAAACGTAGCCATCAAGAACTATAGTTTACACACGTGAACATAGCTCTGATACCTCACTGTTAAAAAATTTCATCAATCACAAAGTTATTTTCACTCAAACATGGTACTGCGAATAACTATCACGAAAACTGGATTTAGTCCATATCTAATAGTTGAGACCACATTCGACGAAACCAGTGGAATTTGATATACAGCTACAATAAAAAAAAACAAAATTTTGATGTGAAACTTTAGTTGGATACACATAAAAATTATCGTATTAAATTTTTAACATAATTTCAATTTGCTGAACTCTATGGCAAGATATGTACTATACTGCTTGTACATATTGAATAATAATAATATAATTTTATTCACGTATAAAGTATTACAGTTTATTGAAAATAAATATGCATATATACGCTAATAAACTGAAATAATCCCACAGAAGAATTTAATTCTTGTGCATGGGAAACCATTTTTCATAACAATTTTTGCTTTGTACATAGTTAAATATAGTTAATACATGAATTTAAACACAACATAACCATAAAGGTAAGTGTAATAATATTATATTCAAATACTAATTTATTTTCATTTTCGCGAGTTTTTCTATTTCATGTCGATTATTATTTAACAAGATTTTTTTTATTTCAATTTTGAATCTACTTTTATTTGAAATGGATTTTATATGGCTTGGAAAAAAGTTAGAAAATCTAGTGGAGAGGTAACTGAAGCATCTTTGACCCACATTTTTTGTGGTAAATGGTGTTCTTTTAATATTCTCGACTTTACTTCTTGTTTCATATTTGTGGTCCAATGAAATGAGGTTTGTTTTATTTTTAAATAAATTGATTAAAACATTGTAAAAAAAAGATTGCCTAAGATCGAGTAGTCTCGCTTCGGAATATAACATATCAGATGGATATTTAAAAATAATTTTTAAAAATTGTTTTTGGATTATTTCTAGCTTCTTAATTTGATTGGTGAGAGCACCACCCCAAGCTAGTAGTACTATTACAGCAGTACCAAACAAGTATTTTACAACAAGAGTATTATAAAACGAAATTAGAAATGATGTAGCGTCAGAAGCTACCTGTAACTTATGATGTTCATGAAAATAAAACTTATTATAACTTATAAATTCACTTTAATCAGTAAAACTATTTATTATAATACTCAAGTTTCTTCTTATTTGTTGACCTAGTTGGCGGAGAGGAAGTTCGTCATTCTCAAGATTTCCTTCATCTTCTTCTGGGTCTTGTTCAATTAACTCAAAGTCAGGATCGCAGAAGCTCTTCGCAAAATTATTGAGTACAATACAAGCAATAATTATTTTCGGCACATTTTAACCAACTTTACGCGGCAAACATACTGTAGGATTGGAAACCGGCGTTTCAGTTGGCCGAAACAGCGTTCAATTATAACTCTTTCTTGTTTTAAAAGCTTATTATAATTTATTTCTGCACCTGGAGTAGGATTTCTGAAGAGAGTCATAGGCTTGGCTCAATACAGTAACTGCCATCGCCAAGTTATACAACATTTGCTTTATTTATTAGTTGTGATCTAGTCTGTGAAAGTCTCCATATTCTGGAATCATGTACTGATCCAGGCCAACTGACATCAACACTTTTGAACATCTCTCTGGCATCACAAGTGGCTTGCACGTCTAAAGTAGGTTTCCCTTTCCGGTTGATATACTCATCTCCATGGCGATTTGGGTTCAGGATTCCTATATGTGTACAATCAATTATACACCAATTGCTGTCGGAAATTTATGCATGCTTTGCCATATCCGTTTGGCCTCCAGCAGTTCATGGTTGGTAGTTGGAAACTTGATCCATTCGTTCGACTGTGCAACTATGCTGTTCACAACTCTATCCACAGTCCGAGATACTGTTGCTTGACTAACACTAAGTTCCTGACCAATACCTTGTTGATATCCAGGGTCACCGAGATAGCGTAGACATAGCTTCATTTTGTGAATACATGAAAGTGCTCCTACTCGAGTATCCTAATTCTCAACTAAAAATCTGTCCCCAGGCCATTGTACATTTGCTTCGTCGAACTATATTTTTTGAAGTCACGACCAAGTGAAGGTAAACGAGGCGTACCTCCGCGTATCCTTAACATCCAAAATTTCCGTCATCATCGTTTGACCACCTTTCGTTACGAAATTGAGTCTGCTACTCACCATACTCAGAATTTTTGAAGGATATACTTCCTATGCCAAGTATAAGGTGAAGATTATGAATATCCTTTTACTTATGTCACTGCTTTGAAGGATATGCTTATACTCGCAAAAGCGTTTACTTCAAATTATTATAAATACCATCTGCGGGATTTCCTTTAAAATTCGCAAGTAGGTGGATATCCTTTGTTTTATTAATACGGCTCATTATTGTGCCTTGTGACTTCAAGCTGAGTAGGCTATTGATATATAAAACTGACCCTTGTGGTCACATTAGTCACAGTTTTTTCTGAACCCCACAAGTGACAGTTTTAGGCCCGTTATTTTTCATTTTATTGGCTGTTTCTGATTTTCACTGCCTTGCAAACATTTTTAATGGATAGTCATTAACATGTATGTATTAACATTTGTGAGGGTCATGATCGTACTGCACGTCTTGAATGGCAACTTCGATTTCATGTTTAGAGGCCTCATTTGTGTCTAGATGATTAGCATAATATTTACTCTTAATATCTTTCCACAGAGAATGGACCTAAAGGTTTAAATCGCGGCTGCGAGACGGCCATTTGGCATTAGAGTTTCGGCTTGTCATTCGCTTGTCGAAATCGGTGCAATGTTACCTTGGCTCTGTTATTCATTGCGAATGCACTGAGTTTTCAGTTCCCCTAAATGTGTTAATTTTGCTTATTCACATAGTCTTGGAGGTAAAAATCAGCTTCATCTGAAAAAGTGATTTTTCTGATAAAAAAATGCTCATCCTCCGCCAAGCGAGTTTCGGCCTATCAGGCGATTCCTGGAATGGTCTCATTCCTTAAATCTGAAACAAAAAAGTCCTTTTCTTATACGTCACGAATAAGATTAGTTTTCGATAATAACATAACCGCTACATCTATTTCAGTCACTAGTTGGCCCACCCTGTATAAATGAAAATATCCATATTGACTGACATACTTCTAAACATCGATGAAATTAGTAATTTACTGATTGTCCTTACTATAACTGTCACGGTGCGGCCATTGACTTCCTCAAGAGTATGCCCTTGACTATTTTAAATTGATAAACGTTTATTATTTGGGTTCAACCTTTCACAGTTGAGCAAATGCTTGTACGCGAAATCTGAAGGAGAAGAAGTGACTGTTCCACTATACAAATGATAACTGCTGGTGGAGTGCCGTCTCTCGGTTTTGCCCTTAGATTAGAAATAGATTGTGTTGTTCATTGAAACATGGGGTTGGGCAATGATTATAAAATTAGAACAAAGTCGGTTTATCTTTCAAAATTTAGAATATTCATATCTGTGCGGTGTAATTATTGATATTATGTCTAAAATGATACAGATCTAAATGAATTTGTATTGCCATACTATTGTGACATGATGTATATTTCGCAATGATTAATGATTAGTTTTTTAAATAATCCTTTTATCAACGACAAGCCATTGTTTACATAATACGTACCATAAATTTTACGACAAGCTTACGAATTATCCTTTAGACGCAATCTAGATTTGTTGGTGTTATATTTATTTATTTATTTTATACATAATTGCCCAACAGAACTATTCCAATTAGAGGACAATATAATGGTGTCTTTACTTATAATACATACATATGATGTATACATAAAACTAACTCAAAAACAGAATTAGGTATTATACTAGTACCTGAAATTCGACAAGATCTTACTGATACAATCAAAATTAATGTCAGAACTGTCTGCTATGGAATTATAGTTGTTGCATATAGAATGTAGCAGAGAATAAAATAATGCATTGGTACGGGAGCTACTGCAGTAGAAAGGAGTTCTTCTCGTATTTAACCGTGAAATATAGAAATTTAACCTCTGGAGAAGTTCTGGTGCATCCACTCTGTCGTGCAAAAGGTTATGAAGGAATGACAGGCCAACAGCGGAATTTCTTAACTGTAGAGACTCTAGTTCAAAACTACGCAGCAGAACAAATTGAGAGACCCCCCTTTCTGGATATGTGCCATCGATTTTATAAACACATTTAAGAAATTTTCTTTGTACATTTTCTGAGATGTTTATAGAAAGGGTTCCATATCAAAGGAGCATACTCAAGTTTTGGTCGCACCAGTGAAATAAAAAGTGCCGCTTCGTTGGAAAAAGATAGGCAGATACGCATTATGAAACCCAGAATCCGTGTCTCTTCAGAAGTGACGCGTGCTACATGGACAGAAAAGTCCAATCTATAGGAAAATATTACACCAAAATCTTTAGTCTCTGTTATTCTCTTCAAAACCGATTTATTTATGGAGTAATCAAATATAATCGGGTTCATTTTACAACAATATGAACATACTTTGCATTTGGAAATATTTAAGAAGAGAATAGTATTGTCGCATCACTGTGTGATGGATCGCAGATCGCTTTGAATGGAAATACAATCTCCAAATTTGTAATTTTGGTGTAGATTTTCAGATCATCAGCTAGGTTATTTATGAAGAATAAAAACATCAAGGGACCTAGGTTTGAACCTTGCGGTACTCCAAAGGTAACAGTATAATTAGCTGAAGAATAACCATTATAATACGCATACTGCATCTTATTAGAAAGATATGAGCTTAGAAGATCGACTAACGAGTCACCAAGGCCGAAATATACTAAGTGACATATAAATCCGAACACCCAGTTTAAATGGTTTTATTTTAATAAAATTTTGTATAAGTACTTAATGAAGCATAATAAGTAAATGATAAAAATTTCAAAATGATTGCACTGCTTTAAAGCCCTTTGACCTTTAATAATGTGTGGATGCACCCTGATGTGCTACGCATTCTCCACCGCGCCTAGGCATGCTTCTGATCAGGTGGTCAATGTCCTCCTGTGGTATCTCATTCCAGGCAACCACCAACTCCTCTCGAAGTGCTTCTAGAGTCTGAGGAGGACGTTGCAAATTGAGCAATCTCCTACCCATCATATCCCACACGTGCTCAATTGGGGATAAGTCGGGAGATCTTGGTGGCCATGGTAACTATGTGACATCATTATGTTGAAAGAAGTCTATTGTGACTCTTGCAACATGTAGTCGGGCATTATCTTGTTGGAAAGTTGGACCTGCCAGGGTGTCAAGATAGGGTAAAAGATGGGGTTCTAGAACTTTGTGGATATAACGCTGCGCGTTCATGTTGCCTCTGATGAAGATTAAAGGTGACCTGGAACCATAAGCTGTAGCACCCCAAACCATAACTCCAACAGTGTGATGAACATGTCTTTCAACAAAAACTGTGGATTCCTCCTTTCACCACGTCGCCTTCTAACCCTGGCACGACCATCGTGCATGCCTAAACAAAATCGAGACTCGTCACTAAAGACAATACTGCTCCATTCCTGATCCCAGAGTGACCGTCGTCTGCACCACTCAAGGCGATTACGTCGGTGTTCTCGAGTTAAAGGGAGAACCCAGTGTGGCCGGTATGAAAACAAGCCAAAACTTCTCATTCGTCGGTAAACACTTCGCATGCCAATAGGTCTTCCGTGTTCTGCAAACCATCCATTTGCAATGGACCTGGTAGTGGAGAAATGGTCCCATAAGGCCAATAATCTTAGGCGGCGATCTTCACGGTCTGTTGTTGTACGGCGGCGTCCAGTGCCCCTTGCTCTTTACGTACGGCCTTCTCGAAGCCATGCCTGAATACACCTAACCACAGTGTCTACACTTCTTTGCACTCTAACTGCAATTGGCCGAAAAGAAAGTCCAGCTTCCCGAAGTCCCACTATACGGCCCCTATCAAACTCACTAAGTTGACGACATCGTACAGGTCTCCGTACTCTAGGCATCGTAACCGATCGTAAAGGATGTCAAGAACCAAAATCCGCCAACGTTGATTCTTTACTGCGGCTGAAATATTCATCTTTAGAGCGTTAGTGAATTAAAAAAAAGCAGTATAAAAACCGGAATGTCCAACTGATAAGGCTGAAAATTTTTTCACTTGTTATTTACAGTGAGATAAATACATCCACCAACTTTTATTAAAATAAAACCATTTAAACTGGGTGTTCGGATTTATATGTCACTTAGTATATTGAAGGCTGTCCATGCTGTGATGGTGTAATTAGGCTTTTAACGTTCTCGAAGATAAAAGATTAAATGGCCATTTCAAAAGCCTTTGCAAAGTTGTTTAAAATGCTTATAGCTCTATAGTTGAGTACATCAGATTTATCACCATCTTTCAGGACCCGTCACACCTTTGCTATCTTCCAAAATTCCACTTTTTAATATAGCATTGAAAATTATCAGCGTCGGCTTGACGAAAACATGAGCGCAATCTTTAATAATAAAACTAGATATTTGATCTCTACCAGACGTACGTTTATTTTGAAGCTTAGAGACAGACTTCAGTACATCAGGTTCCGTTAATTCCTCTAGATAAATACATGGTGTTGAGGTGACGCTATCTAAAGAAGAGGGAATATTTCGAGGAGTAACATATACACACAAATAGTCGGCAAATGTATCAATGACACCTTATGGAGTACTAAATACGTTGCCATTGAACTGGACTTGGCCTGGTAATCTGCTGGAGTCTCTCTTATTCCGGATGTATAACCAGAACTTCTTCGGGTCGTTGATTATTATACTGTCGTCAACCAGCGACAAGTACTCACTGTAAGCAACTCTAATTTGCCTCTTTATGATTCTGCGCAATCTAGAAAATTCATTGTAATAGTAAACGTTGCTTGTTCTCTTATATTTTCTGTAGTAGTAATACTTCAAGTTTATGTTACTCATAATTTCTCCAGTATTCGAAGGAGGATACCTGAATTTG